TTTTCACGTCTAGCAACTTATCTCAGCATCCTTAATTATTTGGGTTTCATTTTGTTGTTACTTGGAGATGAAAATCATCCGCAAGTTTTAAAAGAAATTATAAGCTTTTAAAATTTAACCCTTCCGATCTTTGTTGAATCATATCGATACCTGTGGGAAAATGAATACGCCGCACAAATGTTACAGCAATTCTTAAGCAAACTGAACTTGCTAAACATATAATTTAAGGTTGGAAGTAGTTACTTTTCTCGATGCAAAGGCAAAAAACGATTGAAATGTTTAAAGAACACTCATCAAAAACTCCCGTAGTCGGTACTACGTCAAAGTACTCTGTTTACCGTACTGGAGAAGCCCGCTACGGCGGGTGGACAACGAAGGCGATACTCGCGCGTGTGTAGAAGTGTTTAACTTCATTTCCGGTTCCCGTAGCCGTCCACAAAACCGTCGGTGCTAAAAGTCCCTACAGTTTCTCCCAATACGGACGGTTCATTGTGCGACCCTTGCGTTTTTTGTGCTACAAACGCAGAGGCCTTCTTTCCCGGCTCTCGAAATAAACGAGTCATTCTTGATTCGTATTAAAACGAATTCTATTTTCTATATAGTAAATCATTTATCGATCAAACTTGTTCGGTCAAGATGGCTGTATATTAGCCTCGTTCTTTTTTTGCCTTTCTATGGATCTCGACTTCGTCTCGGTCCATAGAAATGCGAAAAAGGACTCGGCCAATACCCAGCCATCTTGATCTCACCCTTGGTCAATAACGCATACGTATCGCTCAAGACAGCTCAGATAGAAAAGGACTGGATTGGTGCCCTGCTTCCGGTAGTCTCCTACACAGCAGTTGTTTGGTCTCGTCACGCAACGCGACCAAACAGCAGCCCGCTTGCAAGCTAAAATTGTGCTAACTGCCGTTCCTTCGTCAGAGATAAAATCAAAATCATTCCATTACAGCTGATTGTTTCAAAAGTACTTTTCCTCATAATTTTGCGGTGGAAGGCAAACCGAAACTTAAATTTATCTCTGATAGCCCCTAACCAAAGATTTGGCGGTATCCGTTCTTTGAACGATTGAATATAATGAACGAAGAAAAGAGTATCATATTTCAAAGGCTTTTTATTACTACACCAATATGTCGAAAATTAAGGTTACCCGGGAGTCTGAATAAAAATCAAAATTAGAATTCTCAGGATTACTTTTAAAATAAGTTCCTGTTAACGTTGTTTTCGAATTTTTCAGATGTCTGTTCTAATTACCCAGAGACAGTTATGGTCAACTCTGGACTGGATGCAACACTTTTCTATAATAGATCAACTTATGAGAATGAGAATGATTTCAGGGGGTATCGTGCTGAGAAAAATTCTCTCCAATTTGCTCACATGACTAAAAATGAATCAAAAGGTGCTTGTTCTGCCCCACGTTCGGATATTTGTGTGAAACGGAAGATAGAGTTTCAGAAGGATAACCAAACGCATTTGTTGCTGGTGAAGATCTTCAACACGACAGTCAATGATAGCGGAATGTACGTAGTCTGGGCCAGATTTAGTAGTAGTGAGAAGCTCCATCCAAACGAGAAAACAGCGAAATGCTTAAAAGTGATACATGTGAAAGTAGAAGGTAAGGAATGCATATTTGTTATTTATGTCGGGAGAGAACCATGGATTGTTGAAAGGCAGTCTATGACTGCATATGCCTACTGTTGTAATACTTGTTGAGTAGATTGCAGCAAAAAAGCAATGTGGTGTAAAATGTAGAGTGGTTAATGAACAGCTCTTGTCGATGCCAAACTTGTGACAAAAGGAGGACTTGGTTAGAGCAGAGTTTGTACACAGGCTGGGTAGGAAATTAATTAGTATAGATACATGTATTAGTTGTACATCAAGTGTACTTCAATAAGAAAACTTCGCCATCTTGTACGCTCTGCGTACCTGGCACCCGCGTACCTATGCACTCCTCTTGAGTCCGAATGTATAAAGTTTGAGCCCTGGCTGTACCAGCCCTTATTTTTAACATATATAATTATGGCCGAATATAACAGGTCCCTGGCAAGGGTTTAATGGCGTGACCGTCACTTTGAAAGCAAGGCAACAATTGCATGGTGAAAGATAAAACAAGGAACTCCAGAAACCCAGGAAAGGATTGCAAGGGTATAGCCAGGGGGGGGTCCTGGGGTGCCCGTGATCCCCCCTTGGTAGGCCTTCTTTAGAGAAAACAACCTAAAATATTCAGGTGGCGAAAACGCCATGACAATATCTTGGCTGTAAAAGCCATTGTTGAAAAGCCCACTTTTTTAAAATGAGCCTTCATGCCGCGATAATACGACTGTAACGGCAGGCGAACATCAAGGCCGAATGTATCGCCGAGAAAATCGCGACCGGAGAAAAATACCAGAACGGGTGGAACTTTACAGAGACCGAAGCGACATTCACATCACATTTATTAATTGATTTCGTAAACTGAAATAAACAATGAAGGACTAGCGTAAGGCAGTTGCACAAACAAACGTTACAAGGCACTAGCGATCGACAAATGAAAACCCTCAGAGGCAACAAAATAGAACTAAACAGGTTAAATGCAAACAACCAGAAACGAGCGAAACTATAGAACTAATATAAAGAAGTCGACTCAGATATCCACGCGGCCACGAGGTCGCGGTACGTAAAATCACAATGATCACACATAAAATGAATAATATATTAATTGAACAGCGAACTGGGCTAACCACAAACAATAAGGATAAATTACGATGAAACGAACTTTCATATCTGTCCCGCGACACCGTAGGCCTTTATAATCTCTTTTTGTAGACCACAGCAAAATATGTCTACTCCACACACACGCTCCGCACGTACTAAATCAATCACATCCAAAAATAGCTAAAGAACCTAACTGTAACGTAAAGCACTGTCACGCAAGTGACGCGTGTAACTGTAACTTAAAGCGCCGTCACGCAAATAACGCGCATCAACAACGACTGAGCCCGCTGGTACACGCGGGAGAGCAGCGGTGTAAATGGTAAGTAGCCTCTGTGACCCCCCTTTTAATATTCCTGGCTACGCCCCTGGATTGTGTTTCTTCAATAATACTGATAGATGTAGCTAAGCTGAAAAGGGTCTAGCGTCAATTTAAGTTTTTAATAACATTAGTTTCCCAGCAAAATTACCGCCTTCAAAATGTTTGGCAATGAAAGGTTTACATGATATCTTAAGCTTCCGCCATGTTTTCCTCGCACCGCGGCACTGATCACTTAGCGGTCAGCAGCCTTCCGAAAAAAGTCAAGCAAAAACTCGGGGAAAAAATCGGGTGAAAAAGTCGGGAAAAAAGTCGGGAAAAAAAGTTGGGAAGAAAGTCAAGAAAAAAGTCTAGAAAAAGTCGGGAAAAAAAGTCGGGAAGAAAGTCGAGAAAAAAGTCGGGAAAAAAGTCGGGAAAAAGAGAGAACGCGGGCAAAACTTCAAGGTGGACTTAAAATTGGAAGAGTAATAATTTAATGGCACTTAATGGACTCCGTAAAAATCAGTTCTTGTTGTATTCGAATTTTTCAGGAGATGTCTGTTCTAATTTCCCAGAGACGGTTACGGTCAACTCTGGACTGGATGCAGCACTTTTCTATAATATATCTACTTACGAGAATGGCGAGCATTTCAGGGTGTATCATGCTGAGAAAGATTCTCTCCAATTTGCTCACATGACTAAAGGTGAATCAAAAGGAGATTGTTCTGGCCCACATTCGGATATTTGTGTGAAACGGAAGATAGAGTTTAGGAAGGATAACCAAATGCATTTGTTGGTGGTGAAGATTTTCAACACGACAGTCAATGATAGCGGACAATACTCAGTTTGGGCCAGATTCAGTAGTACTGAGAAGCTTCATCCAAACGAGAAAACAGCAAAATGCTTGAAAGTGATACAAGTGAAAGTAGAAGGTAAGAAATGCATATTTGTCATTTATACTCTCGAGGTATGTGCTTATTTTCCTGTTGCTGTTTCCCATTACAGAATCAAGACATAAAAAAGTATCAACTATGTTATTCCAGAGTAACCACTCTCTAATACCGCTTGAGACTGGTGTTGTCTTTTAGCAGTTCTGTTCTTCAGATCTTTCGAACTAACTCTGAAATGGGTAGAGGAGGTTACAAAAGCTTATGGCTCTTTCTTGTCACAGCAATGAATTTAATAACATATACCATTTTCTTTCAATGCACGTTGACATCGAAGGGACCTTTTCTCAAGGAACACTGTCCCTTGTCTCCCTCGAAATTTTTCCACAGTGGAAGTCTGATCTTAAATTTTCTTATAGACTTAAGCTGTTCTGCATGGTTTGCTCTAAACAATATCTACCATGAATTCCGCTGTATTTATATTACTTTTCTTTTAAATTCATCCATGAAATGTACGATTTGACAGAATGTCATTTATTTTGTAGATAACTTCACAGAAACCTGGACGAGTTCTACGCCACAGTCGACTCAGGTCTACAACTCCAGCAGCAGCAGCAGCTCAGGTAAATAATGTCAGGTAGAGTAGTCATTTGTAGTCTGTATCCCACAAATCATTTGTAAATGTACACAATGCTTCTGGATAAGCTTGGACTTTTTTAAAATACAACAGAGTACTTGTCTCAGCAAGTTTGTATCTCGTAACACGGTCACACGGAGCGAGCAATTAAGTCCAGGATATTTTAACGAAATCTCTATTCCTCTATCATTTGTGTCGCTCTTTTGCTCAAATAAAGACTTTTTTTTGAAAACCGAATGAGCTGGAACGCCAAACACATTTTAATGTTTCGTCTCGAAAGTACACCTTTTGCTGTTTATTACAAGAAAACATGCATCCTTTTTCTTGAAAAGGCGAACAATTGCGTGAAGTTAAATTCCTTAGCGACAAAAAACGATAATTTGAGCGAAATCTCTATCTTTAAGATTTTACAATCTCTGTTTATTTTGCACTATGTACAAATAATTATTTCTAAATTAAAGTACATTAAAAAGGAGAGACATAGGCGAGCTAACTAACAAGTAGTCAAAAGCCCTTCGGGTGAACAAAAAGCTTGCTCTGATATCCTTTCCGAGTTTTACGATGCGGTCATCCCGAGCAGTCCTCATGTTCCTGTGAATTCGGCTGTCGTTCTTTCATAAAACACACAAGCCTTACGCAGTTTGTTTTCCTATGGTCGTGTCAAAAAAAAAAAATGCGTGTCTTTGTGAGCCACAATTCGGCCGGATTTCTCTGAACATTTCACTTTCGGATTCTGTAGTAAAATTAAAAGCTTTGAACAAAAGTGTTAAATTCGACCTGCCAAACTATTTCAGTTCGTGAAGTATTGCAGATTGTGAACTTTGATGGTTTGACATCGCCTTTTCGCGCAAAATGAACGCGTTAACAGCGAACTTCAAGGTGGTTCACTCGAAAATTAAATGTGTTCACTATTCTTCCATATGTTATCTAAATAGTGCGTATCGTATTTTACGTGGGAGGAAAAGGATACGTTTAATCAGGACTCACGTATCATGTTTTTTGCACGTGCAAACCGTAACGCGGCGATCCGCATTCATTCTTTAATGAAAAATTTCCCCTTTTAAACCTTTCGGAAAATCCATAATTAGAAATCGCTCCCAGGGCCACTAATTATGTCGCATTACTTACAAAAGATGAGTGAGTGTCACTTATCAAACTTCTGAAGGAGCCAATGGGCTTCTGACTTCTGTAGAAGCCTTTAATGAGCTTCTGACTTCTGCTGGAGAATTATGTGGAAAGCATGGAGAACAAAAACACACTTGAGAAAACAAAGTGAGATTGAAACTTTTAAATGATTTTTGAGGGACGAAAAGAAGAAGTACAAACCATAGTGCCCGAGAAATTATACGTGTATTTCCTTTGTTCAATCGCTCTGTTTGAGACGTGAAAACAGAGAAGATTATGAATCCTAAAGCTTAAGGCGCCTTGTTTCACTTGCCGCCAGTAGTTCTTGTATTACTTCTATCAGAAGTACAATTTGTATGGTTTTCATCTTTCATGATCGATTCTCTATCAACCCAAGACCTCAATAGTGTTAGTAGCCTTAGTAATCAGTTCTTTCTGCAACTTCCTCCCCCCCTCCCCCACCAGTTCTTTCTCCCTGTCTACTACTTCCATATTCACCTTCTGGCCAACACACCGGCTTAGTGAATATTTTAAAATTTTTTATTTTCCAGGTCCCAGCAGTTTACAGAAAAATAGCCACCCGTTTCCTTCATTGGCGACAGGATTGATTGTACTTGTTTTCATTATATTAATCGGAATTGGTTTCGTCTATTTTCGGAATCGTCAAAATAAAAGAAAACAAAAAATATTCCCTTCTGAGATAGAAATGGCCCCAACTCAACCTCCAGCCCAGGGACCTAGCTCTGGAGGAGAAATGGTGGTCACTAGCTTCTAGTGGTAACACTTGCTGAGTTGCCAATCTTTAACCATCAGCTATACGTTAGAGACTACCGCCCCATTCTTGTACAATCAACATTCATTTGAGCCAGGGGATAGTAACATTAGTTTGATTTAAACAGATTTTGAATAACAAGTACTTTCCTTCAAGGATTGACTCATCACTGAATAAACGCGATGAACTTGTGTCCTCATGCCGCCACAGAAAGAAAGCGTTACTGCGTTCTAACTGAACATCGCAAGGTTTTTCGGGGACCTGGGTGATCTCGCGATGTGATTAAGAAGAAAAGAACATTTCTTACTTTTATTGATATGACCTTGAAATGGAAACTGCTTATTACCAAGAAAGGGGTTCATCTTTGCACCACTTTGAAAAGAATTTCAACACCATTATAAGTTCTTCCTAGCTTATGTACACTAAGATGTCTCCAGAATCTCCCAACTGCTCGGTGCTGGTCTGAGTACCAATGATGCTGAGAAATCGTTCTTATTCATGGCGATTACTATGCACGCGCTACCCACATTCTGGCTTCAAACTGTCCTGCAAAACTATAAAAAGGTTCTTCAGACTGCAATGATGTTACACTGTTGATCTTTAACTTCTGGTCGGATAACATTGGACATAAAAAGTAATTCCTAGCGAGTTTACAAGCCGGCAAACAACCAACAACACAAGGTTTCCTCACCTCTCGCAGTAACCGGAGGAATTAAGAAAATAAGTGTCAGAAAGAGAGGGGCCAAATACATGATTCCTCCGTACATATACACTGACTACGGAGTATGTGGAATACGTAACACAGTTGAGAGCGTTCGTGAATACACCCACACGTGTAGTATCCAGTGACTAGCGCTAGTTTGACCGTACAGGGCTGCTTAAACTCCAAGTCTATCTATCATGTGTACCCGCGATACAGCTATAATGCATATGATACTCTCAGGTTTCTGCACCTAATCAGTTCTACTTAAAGCTCACAAAAAACTCTACGATTCCCAACAAAACAACGGTTTTCCAACGTTTTTTGAAGTTAATCGCCGCGGATGTTAATTCCACTGATTATCAAATTTTTTTAACTCAGATATTTTCGCGACTGATTTGTGATCATTGAGATCCATGGACAGTTTTAATTACTTTTTGGCTCCTTTTTCAGTAAATTTCCAATGATAATGCCGTCAGAGAACTATTCTGAAGTTTAGGTTATCTCTTACTTCAACACTTTATGTTACATTGATGAATGATTATCTGGCAGGTCACTGGTAGCGGGTAACACAATACAATACAATTTATTATTACGGCTCCCCTATACGAGGCTATTCTGTTGTAATATATATATGGTCGCAGGTCGCAAGTGAATGATCGTGGGTCATGGATACAATACGAGTTATCACTACCTAAGCGCTGCTTCGACGTGTTCGTGTCACGTGAAAGGAGCGGAATATGAACTTAAGTGGACATCAGTTTTAACAGTGTTTAAGTCAGCTTATCCTTATCTCAGATAGTATGACAAATCACATAGTTACTAGATTTATTGTTAAAACTTTAAAGATGCTGGCGTGCACCACAGTACTGGTAAGGTAATGAACTCCTTAACGTGTCATAGGCCGATACTGGGGGAACTCCACGAAGGGCCACCTATCTACTACGGTGAACTCTCCACTGTAGTACTTTTTTGTCCTTGGGGATATATTTACTCATGGCCATTTCCCTTCAAGGCCACCAACCTCTTTTCTTTATGTGAGTGGGGCCTCAGCGTTCCGCCGATTCTACTGTTTCCCATTTACTTGAACGCTCGATAGTACTTCTTTAAGTGCCACCGTTCCTCTTAATTAACGACATGGATCTGAAGGTGAAGTTAACTATGTAATCAAGTCTTATACTACTCAAATATGTAATTTGGAGTAGTTCGGATTATGGATGACTTGTTTTTGATTCACAACCCGCGACAATTTACTCGTGACCTGAGAAAATCCATCGACGACCCGCAAAAAAATACCCGCGACGCGGAACAATTTATGTACGTGCGCCTTACTCAGAGTTAATTACGCGCGTTGTGCTAATTTTTTTTTTTTTTAATCGAGCGACGGACTTCGTAATCAAGGGATTACTTGTTGTCTGCCTATTAGCCAATCTCTCCCTCACCAAAACCGGTTTGTAGGCCAACTAAAATCCTCAAACAATTATGTAAGCCTTAATTAGACATATATCACTGAGATTGCCTTTAATTTTTGTAATTAAAGATAAAAAATCGACCAGGGAAAAAGTTCATACCAGTGACAACCGTGTAAAAAGGATGATTTCACTTTATTCACTAATATAAGACATAAAAATTTCTCTACTGACGAATCGTTTCCTTGCACTTGGTGCATACTACTTTATGTAGAACTTGTACAGCCGAGGGTTGTCCCCGGCACAATTTTATCCATCTAAAGAATTATACGGTTTCTCTATCTTAGTGTTTATTTAAATTATTAAATATTAAGTACAAAACGACAAAAATCAATGTTAAATACACGTAAAAAAATAAAATAAATAAATAAATAAAAAAACCAGTACATCTTAGAACTTCTTAGGGCACTTTCCCATGGAATGTCGTAAAATAACAAGGCAGGTTCTCATTCTGGCCAATCAAAACAGAGGATAATGTCATAAGCAACATGTGAAAGGGTCTTAAACTTGTGTAAGATCGACTTCGATGTTGGCAAATGCGTCTGACTAAACAAAAGAGACCAGTCTCGATAAACCACCCCCTGATTTTATTGTGTGATCATGTAACTGGTTGGGAAAGTATCTCTATTGACACTCCATTCAAAACTGCTCTAAGCCCTTTGCTGGAGAATTTAATACAAACATATCTACAAGTCTTACTTGCATTATTTATTTTACCACTTGTGTTGTACTTTGTACTTTAATACTAGTTTACTTGATAAACAATTTGCCTTAGGCTACGTACATTTATTAGAAAAGGTATTCTTCACAATCTTATAAAAGGAGGTAAGATCATTCAATGATCATGTGATAAGTAATCAAAGTTTAATGTCTTTACGTGGGGCATGGTTACCCATATTGCCCGAGCCAGAGGCTCATGTATGAAACGCAAGACAACAACCCACCCATCCCACCCCAGGGGAGGACATCCATCACACAGTAATCTCGTGCGTGGGAAATTAACGTCTCCTACTCCTAACCCTGCAGGAGATGGGACCTCCATTTATTCGTCCCTATAGAAGACTAAAATATCTAAACCATTTCTTAATGTTATACCAAGGTAGCATATTCTTCTCAATTATTTTAAGACCTTTAGTGTTGGTCCGGCCGGGGCTCGAACCCTCGACCTCCCGCACACCAGTCCAGCGCTCTATCCATTGAGCTAACCGGGAGGCGGTGATTCCATGATGTCATTATGGTGAAGGCTATGCCCATACAATACTCATATATTTTATTATTATATACTCTTTTGTGAAAGTGGGTTAGTGGAAAAATAAATAAATAAATGAATAAATAAAGGACAGACAGACAGTCAGACAGGTAGATACTGATAGATATACAAACAGATATACAGACCTACAAAAAGGCAGGCAGATAGACATAGAGACAGACAGACAGACAGACAGACAGACAGACAAGCAAGCAGACAGAGAGAAACAGGGCTCGACACTAAAGGTGGCCCACTAGCCACAGACTAGTAGAAATTCAGTTTTGGTTAGTAGTTTTCAATTTCCACTCGCAAATTTGGCAAATAAACATACTGAAATTGCCATAACATCTAAAAACATCTAAAAACATCTAAGATGTCACTGGGCACTTGGCTAGTAAGTTGAAAAGTTAGTGTTGAGCCCTGGAGAAAGAAGACGTGCTTAAAGAAACAAAAATGAAACAAAAAGGAACAATGACTTTTGGAAATAACTAATTTAGAAAAACCTAAAAGGCTGGATGCTAGTGAGGAAAGCCTAGTTGATTTCCTAACGAAACATTGGTGATTACATATAAGAGTAGAAATATAAGTATTGATTACATAGAGAAGTCTTCACAGAATTTACTGTTAGTGTAATTATATTAAAGTACTGCTTAGAATAGCATCATTGAATAAAATCTCACATTCTGATTGGTTAACTAAGTGAGGCATTTAGTGTGGAATTTTGAGTTGAAATCTGCAAGGATAAGTGACATTGTTTCACATCTATGTATATATAACAACTAGTAGTAATCCTGTTTTCTTTCTTTATTGCACTTGAAAACTGATATCGCACTCATCCCTTCATGATTTGTGCAAAAGCGGTTTTTGCATGCAATTTCATGTGGAATTCTTGAGTCAAGTACTGAATTTTCCTATTATATTAAAATATCACTTGTGAGACAGTATATAACATGATCGGTTAATCATTTATGAGATTCCTTTCTTGTTGCCTTTTCCTGAGAGAAAATCCAGTAATTCCCAACCACCACAGCATAGAGATAAGAATGGGAACCACAATGAATACTGCAAAAATTCCATCAACCATAAAAAGATGAAAGAGAGAGAGTTCATATCTTTTGTGTTCTTTTTCTTTTCTTAATATACAACTATCAATAATATATGACATAGAGGGGTTCTAAAAATTCAACTATCCTTTACTGAAAGAAGTAACCACACATGATATGCATGTTTGCACTTTTTTCAATGGGGCTGAATGTAGGTTAAGACGGGTTTAAAAGCCATATCACCGTACCACTTTCACCAATATGATGAGTGGGTTGGGGATGGGGGTGATCCCTACAGGTTTTAACAACAAAAAAATTCCATATGCTCTGAAGGCCTCAACATGCCTTGAGGTATGTCAGCCTCTTCAACAGCATGCAAAGCGCCTCCATTCCTCCGACAACACTTCTTTGTTCCAAGATAAACTGGTCAGGGATCCCTAAAACCTCTGCCAGAAAAGGAAGGTCGTTCTTATGGAACCTAAACTCCGCCAAGCACTCGTCGTTTCGCTTGTCGTCTTGATCAAAAAGTGGGTACTGCCCATAAGGAAAATCTAAGTTAGTTGACGTATTTAAATCATACAAGAGGAGACACTTCTCGTCTGAAATTAGACCATCATCGAATGCATAGAGTAGCTGCCTTTTGGCCACCTTTAGGGACATTTTTTTGCCTAGTTTATCGCTATGTTTTCAGCTTGTTTCACGCGGTAATCACAAACTGTTGTCATTGCTAAACTATTTTCATTTTCGCGGTCTCTCGAACGGACGGAGCCTGGTATTCCCAGTCCCCACGCGATCTAGATCGCCGTAGCCGTCCAAAAAACCTTCGGTGCTAAAAGTCCCTTGTGCCCGAGGTCTTGGATACCGCCCGAAGCCGAAGGCCGAGGGCGGTATTCAAGACAGAGGGCAGAGTTTTTCCATGTACGGACCGACCTAGGCTGGTGNAGAAAGGCCTAGCAGCATCCCTTCGTGGCCTTGCCTGGAACTCGGGGGCAGATGGGGTTGAGCGTTGAACTCGATGGCCATTGGGTACATGCTAACTCCAAAGGGTAAAGGTGTTGGGTTGCACGCTCGAGGTGGTCTTTGCCTACTTTCAACTTAGCGGCTCTAACAATGCTATTTTTTCCTCGGATGAAGTCGATGACAATTGCCAGTTTCCATTGGTTACGGTTTTTGCTGTCACCTCGAATGATGACGACATCTCCGATGTTAGGATGGGGCGTTTGCTTCTCTCCTACTCTACGGTGGCTCTCTCGTAGACTTCTCATGTATTCTGCTGTCCATCTTTTCCACATAAAATCCTTGCACTTCAGTAGAAATTTAGCCCTTTTTCTCAAATCGTCTTCTGGTTCATGGTGTGCTTGTAGTTCTGGGAGGTAATTCGGGTTGATGCTCAGCATGGAGTTAGGCGTCAGCACTGGAAGCTGGATGTCGTCTTCGAGGTAGCTCAAGGGGCGGTTGTTGAGTGCTACTTCGACGTCAAGTACTACTTCTTCCAATTCAGGCCAGCGGAAAGTCCCATTGCCAATAGTTTTGTAGAAGGCACCTTTGAATAGGCCAATAAGGCGTTCGAATTGACCTCCCCAACATGGGGCGCGACTCAGGTTGAAACGCCACTTAATGGCCAGGCCAGCTAGGATCTCATGGAACCTTTCGTCCTTTTGCACCTGTAGTAACCATTTGTCGGCGGCCTTGAAAGTGGATCCATTGTCGGAATAGATCATTTCCGGTCTCCCTCTTCGAGCTATGAACCGCTTGAGGCTCGATATGAACCCTGATGTTTCCAGGGATTTTGACAGGTCAAGGTGAAGTGCTCTTGTCAGGCTGCAAGCATACAACACCAAATAGGCCTTGCTTTCGGTTTTGGCTCTGGACGTGTAGCGTATTGGTCGTGAGAAGTCAACTCCTATCACTTGAAAAAGCCTTGAACCTTCTGTTCTGGTTTGGGGTAGATTCCCTGGCGGTGGTGCTTGGTAGGCTCTTGCTCAGAATCTTTTGCACCCGTAGCAGCTACCTCTTAGCTTCTTTACCAGGCGTCGTAGGCGGGGTACCCAGTATTTCTCGCGTATCTTTGCCATGGTGAGCCCAACCCCTCCATGCAGGGTGGAAAGGTGGGCATTAAAGACCAACTTCGCGGTGAAGGGATGCTCATCTGGCAGATAGATCGGATATTCTCCCATTATACGTCCTCGGCATTCTAAGACTTTCTGATCGTTGTACTGAGGGTTTAACTGCAGTTTGTCTTCTTCAAAATTGGCTAGCTGGAGCGCCGATTGTTGTGCTTGTTTGATCCAAAAAAGCTGTTGTTGTTGAATCTCTTCAGTGTTGATTGGACCACTCCTTTTCAGTGGTTTTCCTCTGCAGTTATGGACAAATCGCCAGACCCAAGCTCCAATTCGTAGACCTCTTGGTAATGGGTGGTTAATAAGTACGTGGTGTAGAGCATCTTGTTTGGGAACGGCAACAGAGAGAACTTCTCGTTTCACTTTGGCTTCAGTCATGGTTTCGGGCGTAGGTTCGAGTATTATGTCAGGTGGCCATTTTGCAGTATCACTAAGCCAGGTTGGACCATGATTCCAGAGGTTGTTATCGACCACATTCCCTCCTCGACTCCCTAGGTCTGCTGGATTGTCTTCGGTTGGGACGTGATGCCAACTGACGTACTCGTGTTGTTGGATCTTGTTCACTCGGTTTGATACGAATTGCCGATACTCCCCTTGACCTTTGATCCAGTAGAGTGCCACAGTTGAGTCAAGCCAGCAATGGGTGCTGTATGATTGGACACTTAAGGCTGCTTGTACGTTGGCTACCAAGTTAACGGCCATATGACCTGCCACAAGCTCGAGTCTTGGTATCGTTAGAGACTTTTTTGCGAGTCTTGACTTCGCGGAAATTAGTTGCTGAGTGACACCTTGATCTTGATGGACGACAGCGTAGACTGCAGCACTGACGCCCTTTGTACTAGCATCACCAAATGCGTGTAATGTGACGCTCAAAATCGGTTGCTGGAAGGGAGGAAGTGCTCGCTGGGCTGTCAAATTCTCGGTTAGTGTCTTGTTCTAGTCCTTCCAGCGTTTCAGAAACGGTCCTGGAAGTTGAGTATCCCAAGATACTTTGCTGTCACAAATGTCGCGGTAGAGCTGTTTGCCAATAAGTGTTACCGGTGACACTAGTCCCAGAGGGTCATAGATTTTGGCTAGGTGAGACAGCACTCCTCTCTTGGTCGTTTCGGTCTGGTCGCTCTGGATGATGACGCTAATCGTGTCTTCTTCTCTATTCCAGGGAAGGCCTAACAGTTTGCCTTCTGAGGGTTTTGTTCCTCCAAGTTGCTGTTTAGCATATGACAACTCTTCAGATGATGGGTCACTGGTTGTTTCTAGTTCTGAGGCGTTAGAGTGCCATTTGTGAACGGTGAATGTGGCGTCTTTAAACACTTCTGTGGTTATGACTTTCTTCACTGCAGTGAGCTCGACGGTCTCGCCACCGGTCATTAGGTCGTCAACATATAGACCATCACGAATTTCTTTAATCAGCTTGGGGTGATGACTTTCCCAAGTGTTGAGATGCTTATTGATAACTCCACCGAGGAGGAATGGTGAGTACGTCATTCCGAATAGGGCTCGGGTGAAACGAAGGATGGTGGTTTTGGAACTGCTTGGGGGTTTCCAGTGGAAACGTAAGGAATCTCTTTCTTCTTTCTTTATTCGAACTTGCAGAAATGCCTTCTTAAGATCACCCGTTAGAAGTACTGGGTAGAATCTCGATCTTACGAGGATGTCCCACAGACGGTTCTGGTGTGGAAGCCCTGGGTGGAGGCAGTCATTTAAGGATGGCTGGTTATCCTTCTCTCTTGCTGACGCGTCGTACACAATTCGGAGCTTGGTACTTTCAGCATTCTCTCTGACAACTCCTTTATGCGGGATATAGTACTCTTTTCCAGTTGGAATGTCAGGTGCTGGCTCCACAATTCCTTGTTGAGGTTGTTCTTGAATCGTACTCTTCGTATTGACCATTTCGCTCTATTTTCCGGACTAATTGCTCCAATCTTCTCTTACTTCCAGTTTCATTTGTTGGCAGTGTAGGGTGGGTCCCTTTCCATGGCAACCTTGTTTGGTACCAGCCGGCTGGGTTTCTCTCAAGCTGTTCTTTGAATTCATCGTAAACTGCCTGTTGGTCTTTCTCATAAGTGTCAGCGAGGCCAAGTGCGTCCAGGGCACACAGTTGCTCATAATCTGTTAAGGCTGACTGCGTTAGGAGCGCAGGACTACCAACATCCTCTCTTCCCGGTGACATCAAGGTCCATCCAAGAAGCGTTTTCTCGGCCACAGGCTGCCCAGGTTTTCCCACTCTTTGTGCGGTACTTGTTTTGATTGTGGCATACTCGCTGGCGCCTAAGACTACGTGAATTGGAATTTGAGGTCTTGTGTCGTTATCTTCAATCTTGACTCCTTTGAGGTGACTGTATTTACTTAGCAGATTTTCGTACTTAGGGTTATCGAGTGTAAGGAGTTGAGGCTTATGGACTTTCGTTAGTTCAATGTTCATGTCAAATTTTCCGTTCACTGCTGCAAGGGTTACTGGATAAATTTCAACGTTCGTGGTTGAAGAGCCAAGCATAATATCTATTCTATTGGTCACTGTTTCTTTAGGCCCTTTGTTGAGAAGACTGATAAGTTTAGTCGAAGCGTACGAACTTCCGGCACCAGTGTCAAGCAAAGCATGTGTTTTTATTCCGTCAATCTCCACAAGAATGATAGGCTAAACGACTTCGTTGTTTTCTGGGTGATGAGCTGTCAAAACTCCTTCGCTTTTCACTTCCTTTGGTGAGCTGCAGATCGATGTATGATGTCGATTACCGCAATTTTGACATGTCGCGGTGCTTTTGCATTCCGACGATTTGTGAGGTCCTGTGCAATTGAAACAAAGTCTCTTGGTTGCCAGGAATTCTTTGCGTTCTGTCGGTGATGGGATTTTACCACATTCTGATGGCTTGTGGTTGTCTGCTTGACAGTACACACACTTGCGTGTCCTTTTCTGCTGAGTTTGGAACATGCGGTCTCGTCTCCTGGGTGGCAACGGATCTTCTAATCTGAAGTTATCAATCGGGTTTCGACGAGTCCATTGGCGGAGTGCTTCGGTGAACTTCACGAAATCCTAGGTCTCCCAATCTGGATCGTTTCGCACAAGGTCCCCTCTGATTGCCGGCAGTTTTTCGAGCGTCAACGAAACCATCCCATTCACTTCATGAAGTGATTTGAGTGAGTCGAGGGACCGCACGCTTTAGGAAAGTTTGTCGTAGAATTCGTGAATTCTTTTGAGGTTTCCGGTGGGTGTGTGAGGCAGTTCAAGAATCTCCTTTACGTAGGTATTTACTATTTCGCTATGCTTTCCGAATCAGTCTTTAAGGATTGGTAAGGCTCGATTGTATCCTTCAGCTGAATGTGGCACCGCTTCGATTGTTCTCCTAACTTTGACGTCCAGTAATTCACGCAGGTACGCGAATTTAGTAACAGGCGGCACGTCTGTTTTGTCGATGGATTCGGAATATTAGGGAGCTTAAGCAACCACGACGACGAACGGAGGACGACGACCGGAAGTAGCGAGAACGTCTCTGCGCAAGCGCGAACCAAGAATTCCGACTTCGTCTTAACGTCGACGACTTGACATGGACCAGTTTCACGTCGTCGTGAACTTCCGAACTTCAAAGCAGTTTTTCTCGTCAAAAGGTGCGGCTTTATTGTCGTTTTTTTGACAGTCTATGGCCGGTTAGAGTTTGTATTCGCTTCTTCGATTGATTTAAACCTCCCTGTTCAGTTTTCTAAACAAATAAAATTCGAAAACCCACTAACTCATTTTCCTTCCTCCGCACAACAGATGTCAAGTCAAGCGGTGAAAGCGACCACGTTAGGTTTAAATTTATTTGAGTATATTTTATGAAAGAGTGCTGTTTATCATTTTTATTGAATGAAAAGGTTTAAATGGCAGTGCAATACACC